GAAGAGTCTTTAAAGAAAAGGGGTGTGACCTACTTACCCCCCTTCCTACAGCCAGAACATGGACATGATGGCAGGAGTTAGTTCTAAGAGCATCCTTTGTCCATGAAGTAACTTTGGGAATGGAAGCTAATTTGACCGAAGAAAAAGACAGAAAGAGATTGGGTTCCTGCCACCATGTCTGGTCAGCCCTGGAATGGCTGCTTCTAGAATACCTATACAGGAAAGAAAAAAAAAACATTTTGACTGAAGCTACTGTTGAGGGATATTTAATTCTTCTCTTTCTGTCAACCCTAATCCTATTTCATAATACTACCACAAAGAAAGGGTTTGAGAATTAAATGAGATCATATGCTAGCAATATAATAAGTGTACAACAAATGATATATCATCATCAATATTATTAAAAGATAATATTAGCTAAATATTCAGGAGAGTCAGATGTATCTGGGAAAGGCTTACTCTCCAGACTAGTGGCATTAAAAAATTATAAGACCCCTATCAAAGGATAAATTCTCTCCCAGGAAGCAACTTTTGATGTTATTAGAATAAATTACCTGCAAAAACTGGAGATCATTATGCTAAGTGAAATAAGCCAGGGGGTGAGAGACAAATACCATGTAACATCACCTTTAACTGGAACATAATCAACAGAAGAAAAAAACAAACAAAATATAACCAGAGTCATTGAAATTAAGAACAATCTAACAATAGCCAGAGGGGAGTGGGGAGGAGACAGTGGGGAGAAGGGTTTTCAGGAACTACTATAAAGGACACATGGACAAAACCAAGGGGGAGGGTGGAAGCAAGGGAGGGAGGTGGGTTTGGAGGAGTTGGGGGGGAGGGGCAGGAGAAAATACAGACAACTGTAATTGAAAAACAATAAAATTATTTCAATTAAAAAAACAAAGACATATAAAATACAAAAAAATAAAGTCTAAAAAAATAATAAATTTCCCGCAATAAAGAAGTCAAACAGACCTGGAACAGCTTCTAATCCCCACAGTAACCACACATTTTCTTACACCAAGTGTTGCCTCATATTCTCAGTGTGAAGGACCCTAAATATATTGAGAAATTTTAAATGGAAAAAAAGAAGTATGTAGCCTTGACCCACGTGGTCCAGCTGGTTGGGCATCCTCCTGCGAAACGAAAGGTCACCAGTAGGTTCTGGTTAGGGTATATGCCTGGGTCGTGGGCTCATTGCCCTTGGAGAGACAACTGAGCAATGTTTCTCTCCCTCTTTTTCTCTCTTCCTTCCCCTTTCTCTAAAAATAAATAAAACTCCCTTTTTTAAGAAAAAGTATATACATATGATAGTCCAGGGGTCCTCAACCTCCAGGCTGTGGACGGGTATGTGTCCAGGCCTGTTAGGAACCAGGCCACACAGCAAGAGGTGTGCTTGAATGTAATGCGCATGAATCATCCTGAAACCATCCCCACCCACCCACCCACCCACCCACCCCTGGTCTGTGGAATATTGTCTTCCACAAAACCAGTCCCTGGTGCCAAAAAGTCTGGGAACCACTGTGATAGCCTGTAAAACAAAAACCTCTGGTAATGGAACTTCTAATGATAACCCCAATTACCAATAGCACTAGGCACAAAAGAACGATTTTGGAAAAGGAAATAACTAAAAGCTCAAAACAAGAACCATTACCTAATATATAAATAAATAAAGTTACATATATATAATGCACATATAATATACAAACTGTCAAGAAACACTCGAAATTACATAATATGTATCATGGATATTAATGGAGAATTTGAAAATATAGAGTCAGCCTCCCTCTGTCCCCAATTACAGATTATGTCCAAAATAATGTCCTAAATCATAAAATTGTTTTTATTAATACAACGCAATAGTTTTTCAATGTATCTATTAACATGATTTTCACCTCTTTTCCATGACTCTATTGGTGCAAGAGCACATTTTAGATTGTTTCTTCACTCTCCCTAACACTTGCAATACCAGCCTGCTGGTTCTATTTACCTTTATAGTTACTTATAACTAAATTCACAGCCTAGGTATCTTCAGGACCTGGCAGGAAAAAAACAAGGCAAAATTAAATTTTATAATTGCTAAGTATAAAAGCATGTTGGATATTCCCACGCAAACAAAAAACTAGCAATGGAATCTAACCTAAAGATGTTAGATAAAGATGATGACCATACTCTACCTCACCAGGTTTCATGTATTTTAAGAGAGAGGCCAAAAAAGTGGGGGGGCAGGCAGGATATAGCCATCAGCATCAAAATCTTATAAAGAAACAAATGTAATGCTCAGGAGTGTAAAATAACCTGGCCGGCCGCAAAGCCTGTGAGCAGCCCAACCAGGACTTAAATCTAGATCTCTTTAGTTCTATAGCTAAGGTTCATTCCAGCAAGCCATTCAGCCTCTACCGTGTAATACTAGAAACAGAGAAGATAAAAGCAGAATTTTGCCTTTAATACTTGAAATAGTGAGGCAATAGTCATAAACGTACCTGGGAAGTTGCAGAAAGAATAAAAAGAGGACTCACACTGAGAAATACTAAGAGATTTCAAATCAAACAAAAGTTCAGATCAAACTTAAGATACTTTCAGTATCTTTCAGATATTAGAAAGAAAATAGAATATATATATGTATTATATCATATTATATATTATATCCTATGACACACTTCCAGCAGGGTCTGAACAGTACCCCATTATCGATTACTTCTGAAGTGAAGCAAATGAATACCCACAGTAATAGTAATAAATAAAGACTACAAAAGTCATGCATAAAAGTACTAGTTTATATTGCTAAATGAATTCAGGTCTAGTCAGGTCAGGTTTTAAGTTTCTAAAATACTTCCTCTTTTCATAGCTTTTTGGATTTCATAATTGCAGGTGAATTTCAGGTGAAGGACTTGGACCTACCTCTATTATGTCCTGTCTTACCAGATGAGGAAAATACTAGTGATAAACTGACTGACTGATTTACCAGAACTGATGCTCCATGAACAGTGAAAATACCATATATGCCAAGTTTGTACCATGCCTGGCACAGGCTTGTTTCCTGCTTTGTGACTCAATTACAGTACATTATGTGACTCAGTTGAATTAAAAAGTAGACCATAAAAATGAAATACAGGTCACTCTACAACCATCCAGGTAAGCTATTAAGTATTTCCCATGTGAGTGCTCTAATTCATGACCTGAACTATAGTTAACTTGCCACTTTTACACTTAACTTGCAAATAAACAATTGAGAAAATCAGGGAGTACTGTAATTAGATTATTAGTCTCTAAAAGTCAGTCATCAATGTACCATTAAGGGACTTGAAATAAACATTCAACCCATTAAAATTCAGCAATCATTCCTACCTTATAACTGTATAAACTTGTGGGGTGATTTAATGTTTCATCATGTCATCCATTGAGAAGCCTCTATACCTGGATCCAACATATTTTAGAACTACAGATCTGCAAGTAAACATATAGTTATCAAGTAAAAATTTACTACTGAATCTCTTACATCATTTTATTCCAGTATTGCACTGATGTTTTTCTCCCCTCTTCTCTGTCCATCTCTTTTTATCTGCAGTCTTCCTTGATTCTACAACTGGGAATATTTTCCCATTAGATGTTTACGTGATTCTTATTTTTAAATGTTGAAATATGTTGGCCTTGATCTTTAGGAGATTTATCATTTAATGTTGCTAAGAACTAAGAAAATAATAAAACAGTAAAAATGAAAGTAGACATCTGAAAAAGACTTTAGCACAATTGTATCCCTTAATAAACTTGTGACCTGTGTTTATGGTATTATTGTCAATATGACAGTGGTTACTATTCTTTTGAGTTTGTGCCTTGTAAACAGGTGGTAAAGAGGTCACCTAATTAGCCCATGCACCATAAGGTGGGCTAGTAAACAGTTTTAAAACTGCAGGGAAAGAGAAAAAACAACAAATAAGGTTTCAATCATTACACAGAAAATAATGTCTGACTTGTCATATCCTAACATAAGGTAAACTGACTTTTTTTTTTAGCTCTTAATTGGTTTTTTTCCTCAATCTAATTCTAATATCCTCAGAAGTTCATGTAGCATCAGGAAGAGGCAGCCACCCCTTTTGTGTAGAAATGCACAAAAATAGCTCATTATATTGAAAACAGAAAAGACATAACACCTTTAAAACAGGTAAATGACAGATGGCTAATGCCATAACTAGGTTTTAGAAGTATTACCATCAACCACCAAAATTATCTCTTTCCTAAAAGAAGATAGTTTGGAAACAGCACATATTTTAGCAACTGCCCAATGACCTGTATAAATTACAAAATAAACAGATGTACCTACCCTTTCCCTGCTTCCCCTGCAGTTCATTAACAGTTTAAATCATGCTCACCCACTTTCTGGTTCCACCAGGTCCTTCATTGCCTTTTCCAGTATCTATATGCAAAATGTATCCCAAATACCTTCAAGCTTATTTTCAGCAAATAGGTAACTAAAATTTAACATCATGTGTTTTTATGGTGCACTTAGGAACAGACTGTTAGACCAATAGTAGTCTTATAATAAAATTTATTAACCCAATCCTCTGATTATTTAGGTGGAATAATCGATGGGCAATGAGTACTGATTTGTTCAAGGGCACACAGTCAGCCCTTCAGTGGCAGAGTCCAGACTAGACCTCGTCACCTGACTCCCTTCCAGTGCCCCTTCCTGGGCTCCCTCAGATTATGTTTCATGTATTTGATAACATCAGATACATAGAACCTTTGTTAAGTAGTCGGCTAACTCCTTTGTCTTCCTCATTGGGGTCTTGATTTTCCTTACTCCAATGCTACATTTATGCTCTTCTGATTTTATGAGATTTTATATCACATTTTCTCCAAACACTTCAAGAGCTATCCTGCCAATTTAAACTATTGTTTCTGTTATTTATTTGAGTTTGGCTAAGTAATTTTCATAGTTATAAGGATAAGAGCTCCATAAATCATATCCATGATGTAAAACTGATCATCACCTATCTGCTAAAAAAATTCTAGTGAGATGCAGCACATTCTAAAATTGGAACGATACAGATTAGCATGGCCCCTGCACAAAGGATGACATGCAAATTCATGAAGCATTCCATATATTTTTAAGAATTCTGATGAGAGAAAAAGATGATAACAAATAAATAGTCCATGCAATAAAAAATTCTCAAGTAGACGCTAGTTAGAACTCAGATGGAATAGGCTGAGGTATTGTCAAATGCCAGAGTTCTTTGTCACTCTTGCCAAAACTGCTGCCATGGAAGCTTTAGAGAAGCAAAGAAAGCAATGGGAAGCACTAAGAGTCACTTTCCGCATCCCGGTAAATTTCATCGTCCTCAGTTCCATCCACAGCATTGCCGATGCCACATTTTTTAAACAACTTCACGACCACTTTCTTCTCAATGCCATTCTATGATCTTAGGATCCAATCACAAACCTGGGCGGTAGATGCTTCCTTGATTCTGCCTGTAGGTGTTAAATCATTACCAGCTGACTGTATCTATGATGTCCACTCTTCCTTCATTAGGACTTTAAAGGTGTGCCCAGCTTGTCTACTGACACATCAAGAAGTTGCAATTGGCTGGTTAGCATTCCAAGTATCACCTCATATTGGATTTTCAAGTCCAATGAGATTGCTTTTGCACTTTGTGTAACACGGGCTTTGAAGTGATCAAAAATAACAGAGCTGGTTTTTTAAGTAATCATCCAGGCCTTCATGACCAGACTGTGTTAAGCCAGATTTTCATGCCTTCTTCATTCATCCATCCTTTTCATGCACATGGACAATGACTCCACTAGGAATCTTTTCTTTCAGAAACACTTTTCTTTTAAAGATGATCATTAGTAACTTTGTCCCATCTGTAGAGCAGGCTAGAACAACAGTAAGATGTGTTTTCTCATGACCACTAGTTTTAACAGCCACAGTCTTTGCTCCTTTGACATCCATAGTTTTGTTGGATAGACATCAAATGTGAGTGTGACCTCATCCATATTAGCGATTTGGGACAGCTATAAGTCTTTCAAAGATTTATAACATGAGGATTAAACTCCAAAACTTAATCCTCACAGACTGCTGGAAGTTTGGGGGTAAGTTTCATTCATATCCTCATGCTCAAACCTTCTCTCTTCATAAAGTTAAAGCACCAGGCAGGTGTCCCTAGAAATAATCAATGTTATTTTCTTTTGCAATCCTCTTACCTTCTTCTTGTATCATCTTGATCTAAACAGAAATCCCAGTTTGATGCTGCTCCAGAATCCAGGTCTTCACCTCCTGCTCCACCTCCAGCCACTTTGGATGTTTCCCAGGCATGGCCTTCTGTCTTGTCATCTGAAGAAACTTTTCCTCCTGTTGCCTCCACAACCTGATGACACTCTCTGAGGGAGGAGTTCGAAAGTGTATCATGGCAGTGCTGCTGTCATACTTTTTACCATATGTAATAACTTTTTGCTTGAAACTCGCAGTGTATGAATACTGTTTTGACATTTTCCAAGGGATTTTTCCAACAGTTTCTCCCACCTAAAGTGCATAAAGAGAAATGTCACACTGTTTGCCCTATGGTAATAAAGTCGACATCACCTGTCTTACCAAGTGGATGACAATCAGCATCATCTATCTTATTCTGTGGATAACAATACATCACTATTTGTTTCATTTTGTTTAATCGTTGGCCAAAACTGCTTTCATTGCAAGTCTGTCCTAAGTTCAACAAAACTATCATATTCCAGAATATTATTTGGCATACAGATATCATTATTGCTTTCTAGAGTTATACTTTTAATTCATAAGCATAGATAAAAGAATTAAAAACATTTATATAGGTAAGGAATTAATACTACCCATGTACAATGTGCATCCTTATTTTTCCCCTCAAAAATTTGGGCAAAAAGTGCATTATACAAATATGGTACTTTTAATTATTGTATTTATTTGTGTCCAGCCTGTCTCCAGCAAAATAAAATGTGAAACCAAACAAAAAAAAGTTACTAAAAATGTGAAACGACTTATAATTTAAAAAATATAAAAACAAAATGATCAAAACAGAACTTTAAGCTTCCTGGCAGCTAAAGCAAAAGAAAAAATTGGAGTATTATTTCTTTCTTTCCTCTTGTCTAGTAAGAGAAAGAACACAAACACATGTAAAAAGATAGATTTTTATTGTCCTGGTATTAAATTACAGGAGGAATTATATATGGATGCAAAAAATAGCTATTGAACATCATAATGAATAAAACTTTCAATTGCAGTTTTTGTAGACACCACAGAGGTATTCTTTATATTAGCATTTCTTAAAATGGAAAAAGAATTAAGGAAGCAAAATTAACTCATGAGCATAATTATTTGTCTCAGAGAACTAAATTAGTGGGGTTGAACATTTCACAATTTCTTGTTCTAACTTGATTCAGGAATTTAGTTTGGAAAAAACTAAAGCAGTATTTCTGAAAGTGTGATTTAAAGAGTCCCTAAATCTGATTGTTCATGGTATCTTTTGAAAAATGAGGATTTCTGGGTCATACTCTAAAACTACTGAATCAAAATTTCAGGTCTGTATCTCAAGGTATCTCAACTGTAAATAAGTTGCCCAGGTGAATTTTATGCATATGATACTGGTTATTAACAATCTCAGAATCAAACCCACCCTTCTATATTCGGCCTGCTGAGACTGAGGCTGGGTTCCGGTAACCACATTTTTTCTTTGTCACCCAGCCCCCTGTTCGGTTCTGCCAAATAGAGGAACAACACAAACTAGGAGGAAGAAGGCAGACCATGATCCTTCCAGTTTGCTCGAAGTTATTTCCTGTCAGCTGCACCCAGCTTCCGAACTATAGCTGGGCAGTTCTAATTGCTTCCCATAACAGTTGGTTTAGTTTCCACTATCTTTCCATCTCCCAGAACTAGCCCCAAGGCCCCCACCTAGAGCACCAGCATCTTTTGAAATGTGGGCTCCAGGTCCTCTGGACTCTACCCTGCGTTCCTGAGGCACCAGCACCATCCAGGCAGCTTCCTCCAATGTCTAAATTCCTCCTCCAATTCTCTGGGACCCCAACGCCTATAATTACCAAATCCCTCTTAAAATAATTGGTGTGGTCCCTTTGTTCCTATGACCCTGACTGATAACAAACATTAAAGCTAGAGTTCTAGTGACTTACAGAATTAAGGGACAATATATCCCTTAGCCAAGGAATCTCTCAATTATCGATTGGTAAAAGTCCTCTTTTGGTGCCATTAAATAAAAGACTGGTGCAAAAAGCTTCAAGTACTATATTTTATTTCAAGTACTATATTTTAAATTTCTTATAGTACTATAAGAAATTTCTAGACACTTTGGTCTCCAGATGAACACGCAAAGTTGAAATTCTGTTTTCAAAAATCAAAATTTTCTACATAATATTTCCCAGATGCAGAGCTAATCCAGTTTTACAAAGGAGCAGCCCACATATGAGTCTGTGAGCGGAACAAAAATTTTTCTCAGAAAGAAGAAAAAGATTTTTACTCTTCTTAATGGCTTCTGTAGGAAGCATTACTCGCATTACCTGCAAGACAAAGACCAAACTTTGGTCCTATATTTAAAGCCATTCATGATGTTATACCTACATACCTCTTCAAACCCACGTCAATCATCTTTATTAGGGCTCTGCCTCTGCCTGAGCTGCCACACCTTTTAGGTGGATTCCTGCGTCTCTTGACTCAGGCAGTTTTATTTGCCTTGGAGTCCTCAGTGAATATACAGGTGCTAGAGCAATGTACAGGGTGGGATCTCAACACATGTTGGAACTGGCTTCCATTGCCTTCCTTCTACAGTAAGGTTTCCTCAGGATTCTTCTGTTTTGAACTGCCATAGCCGTCCCTTTATGTATATATGTTTCACACAACACATGTTGCCTTGTAAATTGCCAGTATATATGTCCAACCCTCTCCCCTAGATTATATAAATTCTTTAAGGACAAGCTATATATCATGTATCATATTGTATGTCCACAGTGCCTCACAGACTTGGCAGAGAATAGTGACCGTCCATGTTTGTTGAGTGATTAAATGACCTATGAATACTCTTCTACTTTTTTAATGAGTCATTCCTTTCTCCTCTACTATATTGTAGATGTCTCAAGTTATTTTGCAAATTTAAAGGGTATAAATAATTTCCAATATGCTTTATAATATGTCCGCAAGGTTGTAAAATAAGTTTTTATTTTCTAGATCTGCATCACATTTTCCATACATTAACTGTTTAAATTTCGGTACCAACTATGGAGAATTATTTTGTATTTTAACCAAGGAAATTAAGGCTCTGAGAACTTAAGTGACCTTGTCCAAGGTCACATAATGAGATAGTGATATTCCTGGAATCTGATAAGGACTTTTTCACATACATTGCATGGTCTCTCAGGAAGTTAGTGCTTACACAATAATGATGAAGGTGGTGAGCTCACCTGACAGATTGCTCTTCTTCCTCTGCAGAGCCTCACTTCGACACCAGGAAAAACCTGAGAGGAGACTCACAATTCCCAGCAGCAGCACCAGGTTGTGTGCTGGAATTCTGACCAGAAGTATAATGATCAAGCCAGGGAATCAGATTTCTTCTGGATTTAGAAAAGCATCTTTGTGTTCATGAAAGGAACTCAGTGGGTTGATAATACTACTGTGGCTCTTGGATCCCATCACCCCTTTATCCCAGCCAGGAGCATGGCTATGGGAGGAGGAAGGCAGGCAGCAGAAAGGTAAGTGTGGCTTCCCCACATACCGCTCCTTCCCATCTTAAAACTTAGAGTGGTTGCTGGATAACCCAGTCCTATGTTTTGGTTCATAAAGTCTTACTCGCCCAGAAAATTTCTAACACACCAACAACACAGAGATACTTGAGCACAGTGAATATATTTTCACTCCTGTTGGGCTCTTCTGAAAAAAAGGATCAATGTACACATTCAGTGGCACTCTATACAGAGGATTTGTAGTGAGGAATATGTTTTATTTAATATTTGTTAATAATTTTACAGAGCTTTCTGATAATTTTAATAAGTACCCAAGTTCTCCAGAGTATCAAAAAACTATTAATATACTTTACATAATATTTGATACATAAGATGTCTTTATTGCAAGACAAATATT